ACATCTCCTACTGCCGACATAATCCCTCTCGGAAGCCCTGTCAAATGTTAATTCACCTTAATGGCATCCCCAAAACGGGCAACATCGAGCGTTCTTCCTGGGTGCCTCCCGGTCCAATCATGTTAAACAATCAGCACTCGACAAGCATGGGGTTTGAGGACCAATTAAGACGCAGAATTTCTGCAAGAGAAAGGAGACTATTTGTTTGTTGTTTAACGCCGGAAAAACATGACTATATTTTTGTTATATTTTGTAAAATGATTTAGGTGATTATTAATCTGAACATTAGGTGGGAAGTTAAACCTTGGACATCCATATCATGTTTATTTATTTGTTTGTTTATTTCTGGTTTAATACCGTACTCGGCAATAGTCGAGCTGTATGACGGCGGTCTGTAAATAATCGAGTTTGGACCAGACAATCCAGTAACTGACATCATGAGCATCGATCCACGCAACTGGGATACGATGACATGCATCAACCAACTCATCGAACCTGACCACCCGATCCCGTTAGTCGCCTCTTACGACAAGCATAGTCGCTTTTTACGGCATGGGCTGCTGAAGACCTATTATACCCCGGATCTTTACGGGTCTGAAAGGAGACTGAAAAGGGACTATCAGTTCTTACAAGTTACATCAGTTTAAAATCTAAAAGCTCAAGTTTAATATCTAGTAGATAAATCTAACAATATAATGGTTCCCTAGTAAACAGTCCCGATTTCATAAACATCTTCAAATGTGGAGTGTATTATTTCTTCACATTATTAAGATGAGTATTTAGGAGCCAGTGTCACAGAGCTTCCTGTTGAGTCCGATTAAAATCACATATATGTAACTGTCCAATCAAATCACTCTCTTGACCCATGAAGAGAACAGAGTAGAGAATAGGTCTTCAGCAACCCATGCTTGCCTTAAGAGGCGACTAACGGGATCGGGTGGTCAAGCTCACCGACTTAAAAGCTTGGTTGATGCATGTCATCGTATCCCAATTGCGTAGATCGATGTTCATGATGTCAGTCACCGGACTGTCTGGTCCAGACTCGATTATTCACAAACCGCCGTCATAAAGCTGGAATGTTGCTGAGTGCGGCGTTCAACAGTAAACAAAGAAAACAAATCTCATGTGCAAGAGAACTTCTGTGCAAAGTTAATGATGTATGAGCTGTGGATGACGACGTCACAGAAACGTCGGATCCTGGTAGTGGCCGGACGCTCACAGACGTGTCTTCACATTGTGTCCTGATCTAGCCAGTGGTCGCTCATCAAACTACGTTTACGGTCCACACTCAGTCGCCATTGCGACCAAATGACCCCTATCATAGGCGCATCTATAAAACATGCGTTTCACGGGATTATTTTGCCCCTTATTTCCCCTATGTCGACTGTTTACGACATGATTGGTAGATCCAATGCGATGGCACCAAAGCCTTCCCTACTATCTACCAGCTAGGAAGTACACATCGGACGTCGTCTACATGAGATAAGAGAGGTGAGAAGGTAAATGCCACATGTCACATGTAAGAGTCTTTAGACGTCATGTGCAATCTTTACCGACATCCGTGCATCAACCAGTTCTTCCTTCAGGCCTGGGGCGGTCGGGTAGCCAAGTGGTTAAAGCGTTCGCTCGTCACGCCGAAGACCCGGGTTCGATTCCCGACATGGGTACAATGTGTGAAGCCCATTTCTGGTGTCCCTCGCCGTGATATTGCTGGAATATTGCTAAAAGCGGCGTAAAACCATACTCACTCACTCCTTCAGGCCTTTTGGGATTTCGGGCAGCATAATAAGTGCATGGTGTTTAACGCCGCAGTCAGAGCCAAGAGTTGGCTGTTTACAGGCCGAAGTGAAACCTCTGGAATATTTCTGACGCTGCAAAACAATATCTACATTTCCTCAATAGCGTAGAGACGTCTGAAGGAGTTGTCTCCAGCCTCTTTTGATGCACTTCATACGATCCACTCCTGATCGCCCCTCCTGATAGTGTCTCATAATTCTGTCTACTGGAAAACCATGAAGTCATAAACGCTCTCAAAAATCTGTCCTGAATATAATCCCCGTTTTTCATTGCGTCAAGGACTGCCATAGCTAAAGCCATTAATCTATAACAGGTCGCAAAGACGGCGTAACGGGATTACCGCGCTATTAATCGACCCCTCCGTCTTGTCTCGAGAGGCGCTGGGATTGCACAAACAATCGATTTTTTAACACATGGGATTGTTTAACGCCGTCAATTATACGTGAGGACAATTTCAATCCTGAGTGCTGTAACGTGGATCTAAAATGGCGAGTCGCACTTTACACAAATGAGAACCTTTGTCTGCAAATGGGGACCAGGGGGGTCTATTGTGTGTGTTGGACGTCTTAAACGATCCTTCTGGAATTCAGTTCTTTGGTGTTTTTCAGACACAAAAGTTTCTTTCATTTAAAATTATCTCTAATTAATATTTTTTTTAAATACTTCAAAGAAATAACTTAAAGCCTGAGTTCTTTTTACGTTCGTGCTTCTAAGAAGAGAATTTTCAGGGCGTTACCTTGAAAGAAGTTTTATTTTTATAGACTTTAACGAAGTACAGCAACATAAATCAAACCAACTCTTTGAGTGAGTGAGTGAGTGAGTGAGTGAGTGAGTGGGGCCCATGTGTATGGGTAAAATGGTGTGCACAGTCTCAGTATCATAAAGAAGGCGAATATGGGATTCGAACCAAAGGGACCATGTCACGCCTAAACGTCACTCTGTATATAGAATCTGCGATGCTGTGAACATCTGAGTCATCTAAAAATGCTTCTTCATCCGTTATTCGACGTTGTGACATGCGCCGCTTTCATTATTATAACGGTTATTCCACAATATGCGAAATTAATAATGTGGCAGGAAAGTCTCTCAAAACAAGCTGACACGCCGTGATATAACTGGAATACAGTACAAAGCGGTGTTAAACCAAACTCACTCACTCACTCGGATAATCTCAGCCGGTCGGCGTCATGGGGAAGAGCATCAGGTCTTTACGTGCACGTGATGAAGCCAAAGAGTATAGGTGCGGTGCTGACAAACCAAGAATATGATCACGGCGAATCGGCGGACTACGGACAAGACCCCATACTTTAAGAATTTAATTTCAGAAATAGCATATATATAAGTGATCATTTCATCAAATGACCAATGATAATTCTGAAACGTCGTGATAACCCAAGAATATTTTAGAATATTTTGGAAATTACTCAAATACTGGTGTACTTTCCTCGATATTGGATACTGTTTACAAAATCACGTTAAACGTGATGTGACCGGTTATGTGACGCTTAGTATATCAGTATATTTCAAACTCAGCTGCGACACATACATCCCTGCATGAATTCCTCATACATTTTAGAATCAAATGACAAAAGGTCTTTATCACCAATACAAATTATCTCGATGAAATCAAGCGAAATAAATTAGGCTTGCAAACGAACGCTTTGCTCGTAAAACTGTACTTGTTTGAAATGAAAACAAAGCAAAATACAGATTTACCACTGTGTAGTATTTTCTCCTATTTTAAGCGATCCATCGTCTATTTGTTACACACTGGCTCACGTGTTTGAGAATATTCATGGGAAGTTAACGATTTCTGTGGAATTTACCCGATCATTGTAATGTATATAGTCTTAATTTTTTTATAGTCCGTGCTACGATATTCTAAGTTTCCGTCCTGTGTGACGTCATGACTGATGCAAAATCACGCACGACGAGGTGGTAGTTTCCTGCATTTTTGACTATTTCTAATGGTTACATTGGGAAATTACTTGGTTACTTACATGACCGTTTATGTGTAATATACGATCCTTCAATCAACGAAAATGCTCCTCTAAAAATCCCGCGTACTGTTGTCAGTAAACACGCCACTTTGTAAAAGTCGGTCATCGGTAGTGATGTCATACGGAAGTGAACATTTTTGTATATATTTGATAATTTCTTTGAGGTGAAAAACTCGGCATCCAGTGGGTTAATGCATGTTTTTTTGCCTTTTTTAGTTTGCATTATCATCATCGCCTTGATAATACACTGATATGGCGGAAACCTTTTGTGTAGGGTCACATTATTTATGAGTAGTAAGCAGTACGTCAGGTGACGGCACTCTCGTGGCCGTTGTTATGTATTAATGCATTAATCATAACAAAAGACCAAATATACGATGCTAAAAATGTGTGATTTTAAGGTGTGTAAGAAACAGATTACTGCACTCGTGTGTAATAATCTCTGTTTATCATCCAAAACGGGTCGGTCGGGTAGTCTAGTGGTTAAAGCATTCGCTCGTCGCGCCGAAGACCCGGGTTCGATTCCCGACATGGGTACAATGTGTGAAGCCCATTTCTGGTGTCCCCTGCCGTGACATTGCTGGAATATTGCTAAAAGCGGCGTAAAACCATACTCACTCACTCACTCATCCAAAACTGGAACCACTGGAGATGAAAGTGCAACACTGTTTTACAGACCATCGTTTGCTTTGACGTCCTGATCAAAGGACATCACTAATCTATCTGCCACTGAAGCTGGTTGGCTGTTACTTTTTACACCAAAACACTTGTCGTTATACCTTTATTTACAAACTTGCAATTCCACTGGTTAATCCGTACCACGTTACGAAACAATGCATTTCAATGTTGACTCCCAAATCACGTGACAGGCACTTATCGTGAATAGTCACTCGTCACATGATCACAATGGACCTGTCACGTGATATTAATTCGTCTGTTAGAAAACAAGATGGTCTCTGGAACTTACATTTCACTGTTCGCAGGTAGGTTAGTGTAATGAAACAGGGGCTTCATAAACATGAAAACTTGAAAACATAAACTTGACTCCTGCGCCGTGAGTCTACTCGGGTGTTGACGTGACTTGACGCGACTCGACTCTGGGTACTTCCAAACTATATGTCGCAGGATGCCATTTTCTGAACTCAACGCCTAATTGGCAAATCGGTACGACACGGATCTACTGTAACAGAAAATAACGCAGAGTGTGCTTCATTGATTTTATTGACACAGTGTAAGTACTTTGATCGTTGTCCAAATATTCGGCATAAATAAGAATCACAGTCTTGGTAACAATATTTCCTTGAATTTCGCCTGAAATTATTATTACCATCCCACTCCTGCCTGCAAATGATAAAAAAAATCGCAAACAATATTTATTTACATGTATCATTTATATAGCATGCCAGAACCAATGTGACACATTGTGAGTGGGTGAGTTGGGTTTAGCGCCGCTTTGGACATTATTATTTCAGTTATATAAGACCGTGTCTGCTTAATGTGGTAGAAAAGACTGTAGTGATACAAGTTATGGGGAAACCGCAGGATATGGCGCGGACAAACAAGGAATCATAATCAGGGCGATTCCGGTATTCGAACCTACGATTTAATTTGGTTCCTACAAGACTGAGGGACGCAACCCAGCACTTCGATGACGTCTTAGACTTCTGGGCCCCCATGTCACACATGGTAAATGAATGAGTACATTTTATTACAGATGCTGAGCAGCATAACACCCATTGCTCAACTATTAATGGATTCATTCCATGGAACAGCATACCATACCGAAACACGAATGTTCCTCACACACTCTAACAAGTGCCCTATCACCGAGGTCGCTGTTTGCAAGTGAGACCCAATGTGCAGTACAACGAGTGCACACAAGGCCAACAGAGATAATGCAGTAGATATTTCAGGTTATTAGTTCTCAGATTATCATAATGCAAGTTAAATGAAAAATGAGTGAGTAAGTGAGTATGGTTTTAGGCCGCTTTTAGCAATATTCCAGCAATATCACGGCGGGGAAATGAAAAATAATATCATAGTAGACATGAAAACGTTTCCCTCCAGATGAATAATATTTTATACATATACACGCCTGGAAAGCACCGCTTACTATTTCCATACAAAATAGTATTTTTGAAATCAAATCCTCTCGTCAATTTTGTGACGAAATACAGTCGTGTTTGTTTTTTGAAAGACACAGTTTTATTGACAAACAGAAAACCAAATGGCACCGCTTACATTTTTCATAAAACAAAGTCTTTTTGAAATTATGTCCATCAATATATGTACGAAGTTCGTCTTCTTTGTATGTAAATGACTCTTTAATTATTGACAAACGGAAAACCAAATCGGCTATCTGGTAATTATCTGTAACTGTTTCATGGCAACGGTGATTTCACCACCCTGGTTTACTCGGTCCTTGCGTCGATCTGGAGAAATATTTCACCAGGTATAAGTGGTATATTAGATTATTAACAAAATGTCATGTCACGGTAGATATTTCAAAAATATACACGGAAGTTCGGGATATATGAAATGAAGGGAAGGTATATAACTTTTTGTCAGGTGTAAATATTTTTATGATGTTCACTTTACAAGAAACGAATTAATAGTTGCGTGGTCTATTTGATTACTTGCTGTCCATTTGGCATGTGAGCAATACACGCACGGAAATATTGCACTCTTACACGTTGGGTAAACTCATTTACTGCACGGCCAATCACACAATCTCCTCTCTCATGTCATCCAACGAAACAATGTCTTTCAATCCACTATCAATTGTAAACAAGTCGGTTTTACCGGAACGATTCTCTAATTTCTGCGAGTGTTGCGGTTCCCCAGGCCGTTCATGTTTGTCCGTTAGAACGACATCAGGTTTCGGATGTGGCATTCTCTCTGCCTTTTCCGCTAAGTTAATCATACTATTTGTCCTGTCTGGGTCCCAGTCTATCTCAAATTCAGACTTTGCATCTACATCCTCTGCGTCACTTCCGGCTTCTGACATTGACCAATCAAGTGGATCCAATGGTACCATTTCCGGTTGCAAGGTGAAGGACACTTTCATTCCCGAGAGATATTTATCTCCAAGCTCCTCACATGCACAAAAGGCGTCGTTGTAATCGCTCGTTCGTTTGATGTCTGCTTCGTTTAATGCAATTGTGAAGCGCACCTTCGAATCGGTTTTAATTTCAAGTGGGAATGGCGCTTCTTTGTCAAGTGTGGACGCAAGAACACTGTCCTCGTGAAACACCCTCTCCAGTCTCAAGTCTCCTGTAAAGCAATAAGACACAGCCGGCAGTTCTCCGAACATGTGACGTAAAACAGTCGGGAATAACGCCTCTCCAGTCTCAATCACGTGTCTCATGCTGACCAATCCGCTTGAAGTAGGTGACGTTTCGTCAGAGACTTCAAACATTTTTGCTCTGTGGTGAAAAGGTATTATCAAATCGTCATTTTTCTCATCTGTGCATCGTAAACACGGTCTGCCTTTCCTCAAAGTGACCATCACTTCCGCCATGGCTTCGTCGCTCTCACAAGTACCGGTCTTGCGCAGTACCCCTCCTGGCATGACGTCACTCTCTACGTACTGGGCCTCGCCATCATAGCCCGGAGTATGGATAAGTACCGGGAGTTGCGTGCCCACTAGGAAGCGCTCAGAGGGACATCCTGCGATTGTTTCTATCCTGGTGTGGCGAGGCAGCGTGTCCGACTCCGAGTTGACCACGGTGAACCAACCTGTAACAGGAAGAGTGATTTCAATGAGGGAGTGTGTCTTACGGTGAGATGAATTGGGGTTAAACGATGCGTTCAAGATTAGTGCACATTTTATGCCACTTGCATGCGTGCGTCAGTCGGTGTTCGCGTGTGTGTCGCGGCTTGTACTAGTCTAGTTCTAAAGTGCTAGCCCACTGAGATATCGTGACTGATACCCCACTTAGACACAGTATACTCACTCCGAGCTGACAAGTCCTTCTATTCCCTTAATGCCGAGCGCCAGGCATGGTAACAACAAGTACCATATTTTAACGTATTTTGGCATGTTTGTTTGTTTGTTCGTTTGTTGTTTAGCGCAGCACTCAGCACTATTCCGGCTTTATGACGGCGGTCTGTAAATAATAGAGTCTGGACCAGACAATCCATGACTAACATCATGAGCATTGATCCCGTTAATGACCTCTTAAGACAAGCATACTCGCCTTTTACGACAAGAAGGGATTGCTGAAGACCTATCTTAAACTCAGATCTTCACGGAAGTATTTTGGAAAGAGGGGGCCAGGGATCGAACCCGACCTTCCACTTTCACGGCAGACGCTCTATCCACTACACAACGGAGGCGGTCTGTGGTTTACGACGACGAAAGCAGTATATAGTAATATCACAACGTGGTAACTTAATTACTGTGGAAGGAACGCCCGTGTTGATGCAGGTCTTAGACACTTTACATGATGGATTTCCTGAAAATAATGTGTTGTGGATCCAAAAATATTGTTTGGCTCCTTCTTTGAGAAAAAAAGGTATGTCTTAAAGAGAGCCGTCACATAGCTGGAATATTGCTGAGTGAGGCGTTAAACAACAAACAAATAACAAAATGTAAGCAATATATATTTTTCGTACACATCCATAAAGTGTCATCCCTTATTAGTTTGTCGCTCGTAGCCATAATGTCTTTTCCGATTGCAAATGACAATATGGAATTGGTTCTACACAGATTCTCCGAAATATAATTAAATATAGACATTATTTTATGCTGAACGCAACATTGCCTGATTTGGCTATCGAGTGAGTGCGATTTCAAGATTCCACTTGCATATCTTTGTGTCAGCTTCATTTGCAGGGAAAGAATAGAGAGTGGGTTTTAATGACGTCGAATTGGGCAACGTGGTATTCGATCCACTGAGACATCCGCCCCCTTTTGACCATAGATTTTGATAATATACCTGACAGTCTACAGATCAAGTATGCATTCAAAATCACTCGGCGAACCTTAGTCCCATGGGTGATCTCGGCCGGCATAGGGAGGAAACCACATTGGAACCAGATCACTAGTTTCACTGAAACCGGCGGCTGTCGTTACCCTTATGTAAATTTTGATGGATATCGACTGGAATACCTAATTTCTTTTAACCATGGGCGTCATACGATATACAGCTGGAGGGTCGGCATGCGGTTTAAAGTGAAATTATGCACAATCACTACACCATTGTTGTCGAGGTATTATGTAGGTAACGGATTTAGCCGACTGAACCCGAATGCATTCAGTATCACACACTTGGCAAAACCACCCAGACATCTAGTGATCTATATTCTACCAGCTGATTGGTCGTACTTCAACACAGACAGTGACGAGAACATATATTCTAGCAGCTTATTGGGTCGGTGCCTAAACTCGAGGACCTGGTGTATATTACTGATTTATCTACCACGTCCGTCCCGTCGCGAAGCGGTCGTGCTGAAGGGGACGGCGTCATTCGCTAATGGAATTGTTCTTTCTGAAGCGTGGTTTCGCATTCATTTCTTTCATTTCAAGACAATAGAGATCTGGATTGAATGGAGTATAGGTTTATTTTGTCGGGTTTTGCATAACGTACACAGAAATAGTTCCACTGTGCCTACGCGATACGTTGGGGTAGCCTCGTGGCACGCACCCTGGTTAGATTCCCTACATAGGTCCAATGTCTGATCTATTTTCTAGTGTCCCCCGGCAGCTTTAAACCATACTCACTCTATGTAGTTGAGTAGGCAGTAGTTGAGACTGGATGGTAGGGATCGGATCCTGGAAGTGCTGGCTTATCTGTGGCATACGAGCCAATTTTTGGTAGGTTCCACATTTGCAGTGAGTGAGTGAGTGAGTGAGTGAGTGAGTGATTGAATGATGTCAAACGCAACAGTCAGCAACATCAAAGCTTTATCACTACGGCCTGGACATCGAGTCTGGCCCAGGCAAACCCGTGACTGAAAACATGAGCGGCGATCCACACTATCGGGACACCAATCAGCCAAGTCACATAGTCTGACTACCCGATCAAATACATTATGTTTGAAGGCCAGTAATGGTTGGCTTGGGGTCTATTTTGACGCAGTTTCCTTGGGGTCTTACTATGACATGGCCATAAATATAATTAAAACATACACTGATTCATTTTGAATACCATTGCCCTCTATAACATAGTATCGACTAAAGGAATAATCTAGGCTTCGTTCCAAGGGACACAAAAAAAACAAGCGGGGAACCGAGATCGAAACAAAAACGTCACTTTAACATGACGCTATGGCGGAAATGACGCCATGCGCAATGATGTTACTAAAGACACGACGTCGTGTGGCAATTACGGTCACGAATAAGACAATCTGACAGACATTTGGAACCCTTCATAGATCTGATTCCTACACCCGTGCTAGATCAACAACATCTGTTTTATATATGTGATATTTATAAATCTCTGTGGTCACTTGACATGACAATACACCCGAGGCTCCGCGTTTACCAACGATTGCAATGTGTGGATGTTGCTTCAAGTACAACATTTGCCATTCTTGATTTATCCATCTATCTTATCACAAAAACATTCCTAGTTGCCGTATTCCTACTACCCAGTTAGTGAGTGAGTGAGTATGGTTTTACGCCGCTTTTAGCAATATACCAGCAATATCACGGCGGGGGACACCGGAAATGGGCTTCACACATTGTACCCATGTCGGGAATCGAACCCGGGTCTTCGGAGTGACGAGCGAACGCTTTAACCACTAGGCTATCCGACCGCCCACTACTACACAGTTAGATTGGAGACTATTTAGATGTCATTGAAGATGACAAGTAAACCTTCTTACTCAATTAGTGTTCCGTATCCTAAGTGGACAAATTGAGTAAATGTTTTACTCCGGAGTTGGCATTATTAAATTAAACAAAGACGGGACTGGCCCATTCAAACCAGTGATTGATGTCATGAACACACATTGTCATCATCCGATTGTAATTAGTAGGGGGCTCTGGGAATATATCTAAATCAGAGTTGCAACGTTGATGGCGTAATATCACATTACATCGCCTTATATCATTACAGCATTTGCCAAACATTTGCCAAACATTTGGATCACTCCTATGAGAGTACAACATTCGCCCAGATGATGGAGGAAATGCTCATTAAAATGGCCTCGGTGGTGTTGCTTCATCCCGTACTACTTTCCTGCTTGTCGTGCAACTTAAAAGTTTATTAACAACCCTCGCGAAACGTTTTCAGAAAAAGGTTCCAGTTCTCTTAAATAACTACTTCATCATGTAAAGTGACACTGAAATATGTATTTCAGGTCCTCGTTATGACTGGGGTGATCGATCCGGCGTCAGTTATTACCTTCCCTAATGGACGTTCCGCCCACGTGTCTGTGTGCAGCGGAGGTCGCCAATGTCAGTCAGGGGAGGTTAAGTTGACCCAGCCGCAGTCCCGGACACAAGGCTCCCTCCGGGATGTCCATGTCGGGAACAACGGACGTAGTTCAAGTCCCCAAGGGTCTAAAGTCTAACGGTGCTATCATACCTCTGGGGACGACTGGTAGTGTTATTTTTTTAAATAGTTTGTTGCCGAAAATGTTGGAGAAAAGATGCCGCAAGTTTTACAAAAAATGTTGCACTGCACATGGTGGATAATGAAACACCATGTGTTTTGGATCCAAACATTGTTTGACGCCTCCTTTCAAACAAAAGGTGATGAAAATCTATTCTGTGCCTATATGGCTTGTATTCTTTCATGAATAACAAGTAAACTATAATATTATTTGGTAAGAAGAAGAAAATTGAGGTAAACGTTTTTTCGTGTGAATAGGCACAATATGTTTCGGGGTATGGTCTTTCGCCTTCAGGAGGGGCGGCCGGGAAGCCTAGTGGTTAAAGCGTTCGCTCGTCACGCCGAAGACCCGGGTTCGATTCCCGACATGGGTACAATTCCTTCTGGAATTGCCATCCACATATTTGTTATGTACTTCTAACACATGGGAATATTTGACCCGTACCGGGCGGGGATACATACGGGTAAACTAACCTGTTGTATAATTTCCGCACGTAAACCATCTCTGTCTCTGGTCAAGGAAAATCATCTCTATGAGAACCAAGGCTAAGGATACACACGTGCAAAGTAAACCATTTCTTTGATGACCCGTGACCATGGATACGCACGTGCAAAGTAAACCGTTCTCTTTGATGACCCGTGACCAAGGATACGCACGTGCAAAGTAAACCATTTCTTTGATGACCCGTGACCAAGGATACGTACGTGCAAAGTAAACCATTTCTTTGATGACCCGTGACCATGGATACGCACGTGCAAAGTAAACCATTTCCTTGATGACCCGTGACCAAGGAAACGTACGCGCAAAGTAAACCATTTATTTGATGACCCGTTACAAAGGATACACGTGTCGATTAAGCCACCTCTAGGATAGTCATCTTAGGTAGCAGTAACGCAATCAACGACAATGTCACCTGAGGTAGCAGTGCCGCTTACAACGAAGACAATGTCATCTGAGGTAGCAGTGCCGCTTACAACGACGACAATGTCATCTGGGGTAGCAGTGCCGCTTACAACGACGACAATGTCATCTGGGGTAGCAGTACCGCTTACAACGAACACAATGCCATCTGAGGTAGTAGTGCCGCTTACAACGACGACAATGTCACCTGGGGTAGCAGTACCGCTTACAACGAACACAATGCCATCTGAGGTAGTAGTGCCGCTTACAACGAC